TACATGCAATCGTTGGGGCCTGAACTGAAATCTATAGATTTCACTGGTTCATGGAAGGGGGCTCCAATAGCCCCAATAGCTCCCCCTCCCTGACTACGTCTCTGAGTGATACTTCTAATGCGCTTCTAGGTTCCAGGGCGCTTCGCTCCTATTTTCTAGTAATCCGTTGCTCTTCAAGCTGCCAATTTCAAAGACAATTGTATAAGAATATCAAGTAAATTCTAGTTGGATATCGACGAAGAGATCTTATTTCAGAAACGAGATGTCTGGTTTCTGCCAGGGGTTCAAGAGGACGGCCTCGGGTTCTATTAAGAAACCTCCGGTCGAATCTATTGGATGGTGTTATACAAGATGCAAGGAGGATACAAGCTATAGGTAGGAACACTATGAAACCATCCGCCATTGATTTCTGGGGCCAATGGTAGATTTATTTCAAAATCAATTTTTTAGTAAATAGATTTTTTCTTTCATTGAAAAACTTATTTAAATGATTGATGAATGGGTGGTTATAATTATATGTTGACTGATAATTTATTGATTGGTAAATCAATGGGTGGTATTTTTAGTTGATTAATTAGCATGTGGATGGATTGATTTCTGATTGATTTTTTGAACGATTGATTGACTAATTTGTAGTTTTTAGCTTTTTTGACGAATTATTTATTGATTAGTGGATAACCAAAGGATTTTATTAATTGAATTTAGTTTTGCCTGGACTATAGAAGGATTCAGGCGCAAGATGGATACCTTCACGAACGGGCAGTGCATAACATCTAACGAATTCAAGTAAACACCCTTATTTAATATTCTCGCCACATGTATTTAAAAACTTCATAAAAAGTTATATTACGTAGAAATTGTGAAGTTTATTGAAATATTGCAATTCCATGGATTTTTAATATTTTTAATGATTTCATGATTATACTCTCTCCAACCCAAACTGTCATTCTAGGTTTTAAACAACTATGTGATTTCTGCCATTATATATTTCGTTGCAATACAACATCATCAGATGGCTAATTATCTGTAAAATGGAGAACAAAGTTAATAATCAAAATAGTCAATATTATATATTAAAATCAAAAATAAAAGTTAAATGTAAACGATATAAAGATGTAGAAATATAGATTGAAAAATAAATTAAAGTAAAACAGCTGTTCCATGTTTTAAGAAATGTACACTAAGGTGTCAGGTGTCTAATATTTTTCCTAATCAAAGTATTGAAAATTATTTTTAAATGGTCTTTCGTTGTAATTTTTAAATTTTTACGATTACAAAGGTACCCTTTAAATTTGATCAATTATGTAAAAGATATCGTCGTTTTTCAACCCTGAAAATTGGAGTCAATTCTGACAACTGACAATGTCAAAAATGTAAACCTGATAAGGGTATTCATTCTTGGTCAAACAAAGCTTTTATTAAAGGGTATCATTGTGAATCGATCACGCCACTCTGTCAAAGAAGGGTCATTTGAAATAACAATTACAGACCACAGTCACATATTTGTATATATTTAGAGTTGTTGTGGATAGAAAAGAAACTCAATGGAAGCTGGAATGTTTCCCCAATGGGAAGACTAAAGTTGGAGAGGTAGGGTTTCATTGACCTAATTCACGCAAAACAGCTGCCCCCCCCCCCCCCCTCTATGAAATGATCTTTTCTCAAAATTTTAGTCTCAACTAGTGTTGTTTATCTTTTTGGTTCATATTCAGCAGTGTGATTACTGGATCACTGGATTCTGCACTATGCAGGGGTGTATATTTTCTTGGAATATCATCCTGTTCACCGCCTCTTTCAAAATCATTTTTCCCCCAGAATTTAAGGATCTTCGCGCGGAGTTAAAAATTTTCTTAAGAGTTATTTTCTCGATTAACTAGGAAAAATAGCTGATTTTTTAGGGCAAAACTAATCAAAAAGGATGAAAAAAACTTACCTTCTGACATTCAATTGTTTATCTCCCCCNCCCCAATTCATTCTAAAAATAATATGTACATCCGGCCTGTTATTCTGCAATTGCGTTTTTAGTTTTAGATTTAGATTTACAAATACATATATATCTGTTCTGTGCAGTATGGCTAAAATTATTATTAACAAACATTAAAGCAAGACTAATTATGAAAAATAAACAATTAACCCATGTTTATTCAGGATACAGTTGGGGCAGTCTCTGTGTTTCTATATCCGGTCAACTCTCATGCTATAAATAGGTTTGTATCCGTACTAAAAGATTTGGAAGGAGGATACGTTTACACAAAATAACAAGTTAATCAACTTTTCAGAGGTCAAAAATTTTGTATTGTGAATTTCTTTAAGAGACAGAAATCTATAATACTTATTTTTGTTTTCCGAAGGATAAAGTTTATTCATTTTGAACACCTGAAATAATCGGATGCTTCCGGATTAGGGACTAGCTGTTTCACAGATTTAAAAACTTAATCATTCAAATTAAAAGTTTCCGGTCTTCTGAATGTAAGTTCTGATCTCTGGATGGTTAATAACATTAGTACATGATGTCTATTCTCATATAACCCAAAATGTCCATTTTTATTCACACAGCTATCATTAATTTTACCACTTACATTCAGTTTCTCTTTGCTCCACAGAACAAATAAACTCGCTGCAACTAGAGATTTAGTTGTCCTATTTAACTACTCAAGACTTTAATGGAGATTTCTAGCAGGGGGTGCATATTCTCCTCAACTCCCCTCCCCCCCCCTATCTGCTTTAAAATTCCCTAATTTTACGCCTCTATTAGGATTGTTTGCGCGGAGCGCCATTCAAGTTTTGGTAAATATATGGCTTATAGCGCGAAATAAATAATTAAGGAAAAAGGTCTTTAAAAATCTGATTAAAGGGATGGTGGAGATGTCCTATTTTATGAAGGAGGGGGGGGGGGGGTCCCTGCCTTCATTTTTGGTTCAAATCTCCCTATTTTTTGGCTGCACGCCTAATTAGTATTAATATTTCCCAAAATAAAATAAAATTGAATTGCAAGTGCCTCTTTATGACCTCTAATGACCTCTAATAACCCTCAACAAGTAGAAAATGTTTCAACTATGGCTTTATGCATTTCAAACGAAAGCTAGGAACCCAGGGAATACAGTAGCAGCAACGAATCCAGTGTTTGACTTTCCAATGACCTGTAACGACCTCTATTAGTGCTTAGGATCCAATTAATTTTGATAAACAAAAGAAGAATTTTCAAATTATTTTTCTTCTTTTTTTTTCGTTAGTTTAATGCTTAAACTTGATGAACCATTCAGAGATAAGGAAATTTACATTATTCTTATGTTTTCAACAATTTAAATTTGGTTTTTAAGAGCAAAATATTTTTGTCAGCAGTTTTTGGTTGGTATTTTGCCCCTTGGATTCGACTTCGTGGATACGCATATTTTTGCGGATCCGGATCCAGGAAGCCAAAATGTTGCGGATCCAACGGATCCGAATCCTGAGCACTGGTTGAAATCTGAATATTTTCTATAGTACTGAGTACCTTCAATGTTATTATATTCTCTATAGTACTGAGTACCTTCAATGTTATTATATTTCTATTTTCTCTTTGACTCGGTAACATTCATTTGCAATTATCAAAGGAATTTAATTTGTTTCATTTGTCTTTGAAACTGAAACAGAAACTTGAGGTTTAACCATTGTTAGCTTGTATCTTATTTAGGGACATTTTTCTCCGAAACTTTCAAGAAACAACTAAAGTTCATAGAATTCCATCCAATGCAATTCCAAGTGTTGATTGATTGATTTTAGGGGGCATAAATTAGCTATGTTGTTGTAAATAAATGGAAGTAAGATGTTAAGTTGTAGAAAATATTCCAGACTGCAGAATGTATGTATACTGCTCGGTAGTATTAATTTCTCTGTATATCCTTATGTTTCTCTTACTGATATTTACACCTTTTAACAACCCAAATTTAGTACACATTTCTGCAGTGAAGTACACGTACAATCGTACACAAAAAACTCGTGAAAGTTCACAATGACACAGAAAGTGCATTTTCCGTCTCTTAATGAACTTTCAACCCCGATCCCATCTATCTGAAATGGGATTATATGAACCCCTGTAAAAGTAACGTTTTAAACAGAAAAATTCGTTGGTTTGCATAAAAGTTCAAATTCTGTGATAAAAAAATTAAAACAGTTCTGCTTCATGAAAACTAGAGCCGGGGATTTGGGAATAAGTTCTTAAAGTACCCTTTTTATCCCAAAAAAAAGTCAATCAGGTTCCTATCCAAATTATTTATTTTACCCCCAAAAATCCGAAATTTTCCCCTTGAAATATTTAATTTTCCCTTAAAAATTGTTCGTATTTTCCAATTTAGCCCTTTAAAAAAACAATTCTCAATAAGGTTTATCATTTTGAAGTTGGGGGAAACTTAGTTTTCAATTAAAAGAACTCTGGAGGAACAGGGAAAGAAATCATGGAAATATTTCCATTCCTTGAATTATAATAAATATTTTGAAGATACATTAAACTTCTGAACCATGATTTGAAATAAAGTTTGAGACGGTGCAATCGGGAAACTTTTAATCCAAATAAAACTTGGAACCTTCAATTATAAGATTGGTATTGTTTGTCCATATCATACAGACGTAAATAATTAACAAGATGATTTTAATTCAGAAATTTTTCCTTCGCCATTGGTTTTGTGAACGAGGATAACTCCAGGGTTATGAAAGGAAAAGGGGAGCATTGCTTCAGGTTGGATTTTTTATTTTTTTATTTTTCCAAAATTAATTGAAAAATTTTATTATGCAATTTTTAAAGATTCTTAAAAACCAATTTAAGAAACGTTTGGAACTTTTTATGTCACTATTTTTTGTCTTATATCTTTATTTTACAGAGATAATCAGAACGGTTGGGGTTGGTTAAAGTTGGTTACTCATCAAACTCTGAAAGGAGATGGAAGGGATGGAAGGTATATAATAGTATTTGTTTTCTTTGCAAAATCATTAAGTAAGAAGTCCAATTTAAAACTAAAATCAAGAAGGGAGACAATTTAACGTTCAAAGAATAAATTATTTAAAAGTCGCCATTAAAGTCGCATACTTTGTTGGTTAAATCCTTCTTATATATTAAAAAATTTCAAATCCTTCTTGCACCAGCTAAAAAAATACAGTAGGAAATTAGAAACTTAGAAGTTTATTAAAGCAATTTTTTTAACGTCAATTTTAAAGCAATCTACGATTTCATAAACCATAAATCATAATGAAATGACGATGATCCAGTTTTCCGTTTTTTGCTTTTAATTAATTAATTTTCAAGAGATTTTTACGCTTGTACCGTTTCTGAACTCAGTGTTTCACGACGAATATTTTGATACCCATTTTGATTTATTTAGGTAAATTTTTTATGGCTTACATCATTGATTTGAAAAAAAAGCTAAAATCTAAATGAGTTTGAAAGTTATCAAAAAAAATTCAATCTTTTTGGAAACTGAATCAAAGAAAACTTAAGAACTGGTGCAAGGTAATTAAAATATTGCCCTTCAGATTCATCCTTACTTTAACTTATATTTGTATTAATTGTATTAAAGTCTCCAGTTCCTTTAATTATAGACCTGAAGCGGAGAAACTACTTCCTAATGACAGTTTAAATATTCTCTGTGTGATGAAGTTTAAGGGAGAAGATGATACAACTAGTGGAACAACGAGACCAACCAGTATATCTACTACAGTAGGTAGGCGATAGGCGACAGGCGTATATGCAAGATAAAACGTTACAAGCGTTTCGTAACAGCGCGATTTTCCCTTGAATTTTATTTCTTATAAAAACCGGGAAATGTTATTGACAAATGCAATGGAGCCCAAGTCGGATTTCCAAGGATGGAATGTTGACTGATTATTACTAATATTTTATATTGTTGTTATCTCAATATTGAAAACCGGCGTCTTTGGGTTTCTAGATCAAATCGAAAGTGTTGATTGATTGATGAATTGGTTATCGTTTATTTCTTTATGCCTTGTTACTGGCTTCTTAAATTTTGAAAGTCTCAGCTTCTAAGTTTGATAATATTTCAAGGTTTGATAGTTAAATAAAATTTGTTTTAGAATGTGATGATGATGATGTTCTTGATAATGACAATAAAGGTCTCCTCAACCTTTTGGAGACTGGAGATCTGGCAGATATAGAGGTAGAACTTTAACACTGTCAATTAGATCCAAAATATCATGTATAATTTACTAAGTTCAGGGCTCTTTGTGTCTCTCTGTCTTGTAAGTAATTTCAGCTTTTTTGTTCGCTTTAATTTCTAGAATTTTTATGTACCATATATAGAATATACATTGACAATATCCCTGATTTCCAAATACAACCATTACTGATTAATAAGAATGTTTGAATTTTTATTATTTTTGAAACTATTTGATTTTAATTAAACGTTAGTTTCAAGAATCCTTTTTTTCAGGTTAAATGCGGCGTTGAGGTTTTCCAATGTCACAGTGCTATTCTTGCTTCTAGGTAATAAAATGATTTTACAGCTGGGATTTTTTTTCAAATGCAGATTTTTTCCTAATCTCACTTCGGGTTTTTATATTAAATATCATATTATTATCAAAAATGTTTTTTTTTAAATCATTTTTTTCTGGTTTTTCATTTGTTTCATCATTTCATTATCATTTAAAACATGACTAAGCTTGCAAGTAAAATTCCTAATATCAATATTTTTACGTTGCCCAGGTTTATATTATAATTCATAGTCAAGTAACTCTCGCCATTTACCCGCGTTTGGAATTTCAATAAATGTCCACAAAAAAATAGCCCCAGGGTACCCAGGCCATGTGTTCCCTCAAAAAGTTGTAGATAATTTGGGCCAGCTGTTTGACGAAATAAATATTCAATATATGATGATTATATATATACGATAGTTGGCGATTATATTAATAAAATGAAGACGACTTTTTATTTAAGTTTTAATTGTTAACAAGCTTTTTTGGAATTACAAGTTTACAATTAATTTAAGATAAGCTTTTTAATTTACAGATTTTCTTTGTTTCCATGTTTTTGTGCATTCAAGCAATCAAATTTCAATCGAAAGTCGTCTTCATTATATTGATATTATCGCCTGCCACCGTAATATATATATATACCCGTCTAGATCTGATGTGTTCCGAGCCATGCTCGTGAATGATATGAGAGAGAAAGCAACGAAGCAGATCAATTTAGTGGATATAGATCCAGATATTTTCAAGGTACCATTACCTGCAAAATAAAACTTATTTTTTAGTCAAAAAGAAAATTAGCTTATCTTCCCCTCCCCCCCCTCCCACTCTTTTTGTATAAATTTTTTTTTAACCTTGGGTTTTTACCTCTTTTTTTGGGGGAACATTAGTTTTTATCCCGCTTCATTTCTCAGTTTAAAATTTAATTAATTAATTAATTTTGTTTGTTTAGGCTTTATTAATGTATATTTATGGAGGAAAAATTACCAATTTTCACGACCACGACAAATCTAGCAAAATACTGAAGGAATCAATCAAAGCATATCAATTTTAAATCAGCCTTTTTTACCGCTAAAAACTCTAGAATGATTTATCCTTAATCACGATCCAGAGTCTAAAACTAAAGAACGAAAAGTTCTGACTTAAATTTTAAGTTCATGGTTAAATGTCACTTCTGACTTAATTTAAACCTGAGCTGAGAACTTTAGAATGGTGGATATCGGGATTAAGGTTTAATCCACTCTTTTTCTTAATCTCCAGATTAACATAATCTTGCAAGATTATCTTAAAGTGTATGAAAAACGATAAAATTCATATTAATATTTAATCATCTGAGAAACTGTAGCAGCCAATTAGAGAAAAGCGGGCAACCAATGAGAGAACAGAAATATTCTCATTGGAGAAAACAATTAACGGATATCCAAGGAGAGAGAAAAAGAGTGGATTAAGGACTAAAATGAAAAGTTTCCACAGTGGATATTCGGATCAAGAAGTCAGGATTAAAGTTTATCTATTCTAAAGTTTTCAGCTCTGAACTTCATAAGGTTAAATATTAAACCCTGTGATTAAATATTTAACTCGCCGAAATCGACGAGTTAAAATTTAAGCAGAGGTTTAAATTATCTTGAAATCCTGCATTTTCCCTATTTGTCTATTATTCAATCATCATTCAGCTGCAGCTGAGAAAGCGGCATTCAACTTAACGATATATTTAAAAGTGAAAACCTTGTTAAATTAATTTTTGGATGTAAACCCAAAAAACGGTTGTATGTTTTGTTTTCGGTTACGTAAGAACAGCTGATTAGCGATGGTTATGTAATATTCTCCGTAAATTCTTTTCTCTGATTGGTTCAGATTTTTCCCGGGAAATTCAAATTTAAAATTGAGAAAGTTTAATATTTAAGTCGCTATTCATTATTTTACAGAATTTTTAACCTCGAACTTAAAATTCGTGCATTCTTTAGTTTTAGACTCTGATCGCTTAATCAGATTATCCAATGTACACACTTTTGATTTTCTTCTTAATCCTCTTTTTGGATATTTCTACTGTATAAAAATTACTTTTGATATGCTTTAACGATTGGACTAATATCCGATTGAATAAAGTCAGTTGTTCACACGCCGGCTTTTAGAGCATTTAAACAAATAAGAATTTAATCATGTTAATATGAAATTAATTAAAAACATATTTTAGGACTATTTTGAACGTTAGTCTTAATAAACATTAATCCAAAACTTACGTTCGTTCAATCGATGTTTAGTTCAATCGATATGACGCCATCAACACCAGAAATCAAAACCGGTTTTTCAAACGTCAAAAGAGTATATCTTAACATGACACGCTGATTGGTTAAATCTTTAACTTCTTTCTTGGATATCGAATGAGTTTTAAAAATTTTAAAATGCATTTAGTGAATGAGTTTAAGCATTAGTCTTAATATCCACTATTCTAAAGTTTTCATCTGAGCTAAAAACTTCAGAATTTTTTATATTTAGATTAATGCTTCATATCCTCTTTTTGTAAATCTTAAAATTAATTCAATCTTTAGTTAGTAGTCGGAAAGTTTCTAAAATTCAACCAATCAGAGTGCAGAATCCCACAGCCAATCAGAAGCCGGGAAACTTGAATTTTGTTCGCACCATCATTGGTCCGAATTCAGTATGCATATCTGAAATCAGGGGAAAAGAGCGGATTAAGCAGAAAATAAATGTGTCCACAGTGGATATTTAGATTCAGATTAAGGAAATTCAACGCTGAAGTGGTCTGCTTGGTTATTAAGAGTACGAAATCTATTCAAAACATAATGTTTTCAACCTATTTCTTAGAATTGGTAACTGTCATGTGTCTTGGTACAAACTCCATCTTGTTTCTACTGAAGAAATTCACAAGTTGCATTCTTAAAAATCGTTGGACTTTAGTTTAAAGCAGTGCTTAGGATCCATTTAATTTTGATGCGGATCAGGATCCGGATCCTGGATTTGCACAGGAAAAAAATGGATCCGGATTCTGGTCATTTCTTTAAGAATTACTGAATTTTTAGAGACAATAAATAATTTTCAAATTTTTTGTTTTATTATTTTCCCTTATTTTTATCCAATCCTAAAACTTTATGAACCATTCAGAAATGAGGACATTTTTATAATTCTTTTTTTCCAAAGTTTAAATTTGGGTTTTTGGAGTAAAAAGGTTATTTTTTGCAGTTTTTTGTTGATATTTTACCCCTTGGATCCGGATCTTAGGCACTGATTTAAAGGTTGGGATTGTGAATTTGGAATGGAGCGGTTCAATGTACATTCTTAATAGAAAAATTGATTAAAATAATTTTGATTGATTGATTGAACAGGCAGCAGACCAGTATGGTCTTCTAGGGCTCAAACGAAGGTATGATTTAGATCCGTCATGTTCCATTTACAATTTTAGATCGAGAAGGTAGAGGATCTGCCTTTACATAGTTTTTATCGAGTAGTTAAAGGATCTGTTATTTTGATTGCAAATGAAACCAATTGAACATTTTTTACTGTCAAAAAGACATAATAAGTAATAATTAATCCAAACCATACTGGCCTAATAATCTAAAATTTTCTTTTAATGGAAAAATAAAGTTAAATTACGTACTTTTTTCTTCAACATTTAGTCGTAAAAATGGCATTTTTATTATTTTTATTGGATTACATTCTAATTAAAATAATATGACATGATTAATGTTTAGATGCGAGGAAAGCCTGTGTAGTAGTTTGAATATACAGAACTGCCTGGATCACCTGATAACTGCAGATTTACATAATGCAACCAAACTTAAGATCCTGGTTATTAAGTTTGTGGTAGAGAACGCTCAGGTAGATTCGAAATCAATCAATCAATATATCCCTGCTATTTCATCTTGAAAATCAGAGTGGTAATTTATTGTTAAGGATTTTTTTTACTAAATAGGGGGGGGGAGGGTTGGAATGTTTATGGGAAATAAATGGTTTTTAGGAGGGAACGGTTTCCTGGGGGGCGGGGGCCTCCAAAGGTGTTTTTTATTTTCGCTACCAAATTTCTGAAAATCATATTCTATTATTCTACTATTGCAAATTGATCAAATTCCATTTTTTGGGTTAATTTGACTTTGAAGAAACTGAGTAGAAATATCGAATACAGTTCGATGTTCGAACGTTATTACACTTTCGAATGACTCGAATAGTGAATGTACTGAGCGGATACTAAGAAAGATTGTGCACATATTTGAAAATTTCTTTAATATCTGAAAGCCAGCATGATAAATTCTCATTTTCTTTCCTGCGAATCTTCGGGTCATGCTGGGGTGTATATTTTTAAGAATTACTTCCCCTGGGTGATGAATTTTGAAGATTTTTTTTTTTTTTGGGGGGGGGGGTTAATCGAACATCTAAATGCAAGTTTTTTTTAAATTTTATTGGTTCTTTTAACCAAATTTCCAGAGTAAACAATTCCTTTCAGAAGGTGGAGGGAAGATTTTTCAAGAAAGCAAACACCCCTGCGTCATTAGTTTGATTGTGTTTACACCTGCTGTAGTGCTTTTAACACTCTTTAAATCTTAACTTATATTTTCTCCTATTAAGACTGAGAAATTTACGACGAAAATCCAACTTTTTTATGTTGTTTAATAGGACTATCAATTGCTTAAATTACAGGGTTATTCTAGAAACTTTTATCTGATCAATGTGGAAGATATTGTCGTTTTTATAGCAAGTCACTATTTCATTTTTGGTCAGACTAAGCCTTAAGGATACCGTTGTGAATAGGATATGTCCCTCTTGTGTCGGGGTATCACTGGAAATTACTTCTGAAGTCCCTTTATAACCGTAGTTTTCAAATGGGTGAACATTCTCTTTAAAATTGGTGACCCGGCTCGTTAAGCTTTATTAGATTATGTCAACTGGTGGATAAAACTATCTAATACTGATAGATGTCAAATTGACAGTTTTATGGGGTGTACTGAATAACGCCTATTTTATATTTTGCGGACAAGCCTTTATTTTGGGGAAATTGAATTATAAAGAGGCAACAATAAATGTAATTTTTCCTTTTTTTCATTTTTGAAAGCTTCTTAGATCATTCGTAATAATAGAAAGTATTATTGACCACTGATTTTTGGAATATATGTGGAAGTATAAGACACTAGATTTGATTTGTAATTTGTATTAGGAGGTGACATACCTACCGAACTGGAAGGAGAAACTTAGTCATTACCCGGATATATTCACAGAAGTTTTCAGGTAAGATTCAGTCTATTAAAAGTGATAATGTATTTAATATATGGGAGTTTAGGTTAATGGAAAGTTGATGGGAAATAGAAGTTAAATTAGGGTAGAGAGCTGGGCAGTGGAAGGGGAAATATTAAGTAAGATGTTGGGAAGGACATGAGGATAACTTAAAAGAAAGAAAGGATCCATTTCATTTTGATGTGGTTCCAGATCCTTTATCCGTCCGGTAACTAACTGGATCCGGATCCGACTCATGAATAATTCTTTTTTATATAATTTGCTTAATTCTTGTAATCGAAAGAGGAAAAAAGAAAGAAGAAGAAAAACACTAGAATAACAGAGGGGAAGTTTAAAGGAGCATTGAAGAAAATTAGAGGCACATAGATAAACTGGGAAAATGAAGCGCGTAAGGAAAATTAGAAAAAGGAACTCTGTAAGTATTATGGGAAACTGGGAAACCCTAGAGCTAACTCTGAATGAAAAGGTGGAACCCGGAAAGAGAACAGAACTTAACAAAACGGAAAAAAAGTAATTTTAACCAATAATATTATTTGTTAAATCTAGTTATTTTTGTTTCAGTGAGCTAGCGAACTACAAGTCCGGGAAGAAAGCCAAGTCTGATGATATCTCCTGGAGTCATTATAAACCTAGTGATACAGAACTAGATTTTAGGGCCCCCTCGAACATAAAAACAAGCGTGCACAATTTCAAATCCAACTTTTAAAAAGATTATATAGATTTATATGGCTTTTAGTATTCAATGCAACATTTCACAAAACAAAAATTAAACAAAAATATTTTTTCTTAAATTTTTTTTTAATGACGTTTTACGATTTCATTTCAAGATGTGAAATCATCTAGACGGACTTGATAAGTTGATAATGCCTCCGAAGACGCTGATCTTTGTACAGTACGTACAATGTACAATGTACATACGGTGTAATTTTGTTAACAATATACCATGGTTTGTCAGATTTTTATGTAACTTGTAAATTTAGGATAAGAAAAATATTATGAGTTGCTATCTTGAAAATTTCAAATTTATAATTGGCAACTTTTTTTTAATAAATTGTCAATAGATCAGTTCAGATCAGCTCTACTAGTCAGTTCAATTCTTCTCAATGAAAAAAAAAGTTATTTCTAATTTATTAAGTTAAGATTTAAGAAGGTTCATTTAAAACCATAGTAGAAGCTAACAATTAATGAGTTCGAGTGCATATTACGAATCAAAGAATTATCTTTTCGTAAAAAATATAATTTCTCTAGTATTATGTTATTTTTATACCATTCAACGCTATTTTCTACTTTACAAAATAAATGTTTTTGTCGCCAATCAACATATTTTATGTTTATATTTCTAAATTATCTAACCTTGAATAAGTTCTAAAACAATAAACCTTGTTTTAGCTGCACTGTACAGTGTTCTATTATAATGACACGTGTTATAATTATTTATTAAACTGATTTCTAGATTACTGGACGTTTTATAAGAAATATCATTGTTAACCACTTTATCCTAGTTCAACTACATTTTTTGTTATTTTATCGGAATTCAACAAACTTTGATCTACTTTCTCTAACCAAAGACTACAAGAACGTTTTATCAGCTGCCGTAAAATTTTTGTTGAGGTGAATCTAGGCTTTTAGTTATTATAATTTTAATTATATTATGTAATTGATCATATTTTTTTATTACCAAACACATGTTTTTAATTGTTTTTTTTCTACTAAGATACTTAGATCAAATGTTTTTAAATTGATTTATTTCATGAACGCTCTGTAAGTAACTGGTTTTAAATTGATTTTTATTTCTAAGGATTCTTAAATTAAACGTCATTTAGCCCAGTTTTGATTAATGTGGTTTTGATTAATGTGGTTTTGATTAATGTGGTTTTGATTAATGTGGTTTTGATCAATGTGGTTTTGATCAATGTGGTTTTGATTAATGTGGTTTGCTTTTTTAAATCAATTTATTTCAATGTGGTTTTGATTAATGTGGTTTGCTTTTTTTAAATCAATTTATTTAGGATTAAAATGAGTTAAAAGAAATATTTAGATCCGCTATTCACAGATTTATTTGATCTTTGATTATTTGATCTTTGATTATTTGTCTGTTGACTTATTGTTTTCGTTTTGGTAATGTTGATGTGCTCTACTGCCAATCCGTCCTACTGTCCATCTGTTATACTGTGCATCCGACCTACTGCAACATCCGACCTACGACAGCTGTGTATTTTTGTATAATTTGAGGGTTAGTTTAGGTTAAGAGAATTTCTGGGCCGAGCGCTGCGGCTAGGACGGGCTAGGGGGCCGGGCGCTGCGGCCAGAAGTCCATCTAGCAGCTGTAATACCATGTGCTAGTAGGACGGAGTGACTTAGGTGCAGAACTACATTATCTTTTGTTTTCTATCACTATTTCGATTTCTAAAGCAATTTTTCACATTTTTAATGTCGTTGGAATTGAAACTCGTGACAGAATGCAGCGTAAAAATAGACGCCAATTTATGATCGCGCCAGATAATTTGATGTTTTCTGGAACACTTTGTATGTTGTGTAGTCGTGTGAATCAAATAACAGAATACATTTCAGATTTCTTGATTTACTTTATCACCATTTTGTCATAAAGAATATTGTATGGGCCATAAAACTATACACTTAAATAAGTGAAGGGATGGATAAAGATATATAGATTCAAACTACAAACAGAATCTAATTCTGGCCGAATAGAATTAATGCATTTTTGTATAAAATGGTTTTTATACTCCCTTATTGTTTGGCAATGGTAGTTTTCACAAATTACTGTGATTTGAAAATTTATTAAGATTCCGTTTTAACTATTTTAATTTTTCTAAGATATTTATTGTAGAACTAAATTAATTAACTGAGTCAATAATAAATAATGGCATTTTATTAAAAATGTATCGTTAAGTAATAAGATATGAATTGTTAATTTTTCTGGAGAACTCGTAGAACAAAATGGATGGAGGGGGGGGGGGGATTTCCTGTTCCTGTCAATTTCTCCAGCAGTTGCTAATGGTTTTACTCTAATTACATTTTCTCACTAGATATTTTATTTGTAAAAAGAATGGACTATTATGTAATGAAACTTTTGGAATTTAAAAAAGTAAAAATGATGCGTTATCTATATATGATTGTCGCCCGCCTTAGTCTTAAGAAATTTCAGAAATGAATTAAAGATCAGTGAATTGTATGTTAAGTTTATAAACTACTCTACATCATTTTACGCATTGTGGACACAGTCTGAACAATGAGAAAAGATGAGAAAAATCACAATATTAATTGTCATTACCTCTGAGCGTTACAGTTTTCCACCAAAAAAATAATCCATTGCAATTTTCTCGTTAAATAGTGCAAATTTTCGGTTATAAGCGCTCTTCAAACTTTAAAAGTATGTTATGGTACACCATTTTTTATCGTTCGTAATGTTTTCAAAAACAAGCCATTTTAGAGAAATGATAGAACTTTTGGGGGGTAAAATAAGTTTAGCAGTTTACATAAAAATTAATCGTCATTATTTTAATTTAAAGTTTTTTATGAATATTATTTGCATGAAGTCGCTGGATTTTTAAAAATCACAATTTCAATGCACTAATTTAAAGCATATTAACTGTCGGAAGAGTCAAATATTGTGGCATGGAAGACCGTGCGGTTGTGGCTTACGCTAGTGACTTAAATTACACAAAAGCAAAAATCTTGATGGTTTTGAAAAATATAATATATATCTTTTTACCTCTATCAAAGAAAAGTTTAGAAGTTGTGCTGTTGCAAGGAAAATTTGAGAATTTTTATTAAAATTTTACCCTTCATTTTAGTTCTTTGTGATAAATGAGATAAGCACTACTGATAAGATCAAAGATTTTGAATTGAAAAAAAAATTAAATATGATAATTAGGAGCAGTTACCCTTTATCAGTAGGATTAGCCAGTAAGTGACAGACTAATTACAAACTTTACCTATTATTTATAACTTTAGACTTGTTCAAATTAAGTTTAGCTCGATATCTATCTAACTACTTGTAGTTTGCAGAAGGGAATATACTTGCATCATGCTTAGTGAATTTAATCTTTAAGTAGAAAAGATTCATTTCAATAAAATCATTGTTGCATAGATTTAAAATCACAGGCTTTGTGGCAAAAACTCGCGTTTATCTCATCGAACAATCGAAATAAGAAAGGAATAAGTGACATGTGAATACTGAAAATCGTCATGAGAATAGTAACAATCGACATGTGAATACTGAAAATCGTCATGAGAATACTGAAAATTGTCATGAAAATATTACCAATCGACATGTGAATACTGAAAATGGTCATGAGATTAGTACCAATCGACATGTGAATACTGAAAATCGTCATGAGAATAGTACCAATCGACATCTGAATACTGAAAATCGTCATGAGAATAGTACCAATCCTCACAAAACAGTACTATACAGTAGTATATAATATTGTTAGTATTTTTATTATTTACTCTCTTAAAAAAAATCTTGGTTTCATTTTAATTTAAAAACATATATTTGGAAATCCATATTGTAAATATATAAACAATAAAGATACTTTTTGACCCTTTGAGCTTTGCAATTTTGAAAAAGGTTTAGATCCTTGAAGATTGATTGAGTTGAGTTTTGAGGGTCCCGTGGTACATGTAGGTATACACTGTATAGAACACAAGAGACCAAACAGACAAATTGTTCTAAGCTTTTAGTAAACATAATTAAACAAGATCACAAAACCTAGAAAACTACAGAATACTCGGATCAAAGATATTTATTTCTTACAGAAAACAAAACACGATATACAGGGTTGCCAACATTTAGAGTCTAATCCTTTGTGGGTAACCCTGTGTGTAGAAATAAATTTGGCAACAATTTTAAGTATATATTGATTTACCAATTGTGGGGCCTGATGCCTCCCACTCTAGCTGAACCTGGGGGGGGGGGGTATCAATTTTCTAGACAAATAAATCAAACAAACAAAAAATTCAAAAATATTTTCTCTCTAGCTTTTACATTCCTTTAAAATAAAATAAATATATTTTTTAGGTTCCATTATTTTGCTAAACAATTGGCTTGTTATGAATTTTTTCCACAAACTTATCATTGATTGTGATTTGCTCTTTCGCATATTTATTGAAAACAGATTTGTTTATCTGAAAAAAAAAGAATTTTTTAACATAGATCAAGAATTTGTTTGGACAGGTGATAATTGGATATATTGATGAAAATATTATTATTATTATGCAAGTTTGAAACTGGAGCTCTTTCTAAAAAACTAAAGATATTACAACCAAACGGAAGATTCTAGAATTTGTAGATTGTTGAAAGTTTTTATATTTTCTCTCTGTTGTGATCTATAATTTAATAAAAGTTTGTGGTGCACTGTGCAATCCACTGCAGATTCCAATAAATTCCTTTTCAATGTTGAAGAAATGGGAGGAATGGAAGAGAATAGAGAATGAGAGGAATGTAAGAGAAGAGAGAACGGGAGGAATGAGAGAGAAGAGAGAGAATGGAGAATGTGAGGAATGGAAGAGAAGAGAGAATGGGAGTGAATAAAAAATGGAGGATAGGGAAGAAGAGAGAACAGGAGGAATGGGAGAGAATAGAGAATGAGAGGAATGGAAGAGAAGAGAGAACGTCGAGGCATGGGAGAGAAGAGAGAATCGGAGGAATTGGAGAGAAAATAAAAAGGGAGGAATGGAATAGCAGAGAGAATAGGAGGAATGGGAGAGCAGAGAGAATAGGAGGAATGGGAGAGCAGAGAGAATAGGAGGAATGGGAGAGCAGAGAGAATAGGAGGAATGGGAGAGCAGAGAGAAAAGGAGGAACAATTAACGAACGGCATAAAAAAAGGCGGTCCTAGTTAAGATCTCTAGATATTTTGGCATAGGATACACCAAAGATGCTCTATGTATATAAAGATGAGGCAGTATAAATTTTTCTGATTATTATAACAACGTCTTTGGGATAAACTAAATCAATGTACATTTAATGAATATTTATATATGTATACTTACATAAATGTATATTCGGCTTTCATGACGCGAATCGACCTTAACTTTTAATTGTTTGAAATATCGTAATTTTTAACTTTTTAAATGTCTTTAAACCTTGTCATGCAAAGGTCCAAAAAAAATTTTGAAAACGATCGGTTCCAGCCTTCTTGACGTTTAATGGGTACAAACGGACAGACAGACACAATGACAAGCAAATTGTAGTTATATAGATATTGTAGCTGAGTGAATGATAAAGTTAAGAGAACTAAAGTTAAACTGCTCCCCCATCTCTCTATAAACAAACCACAAGGGAAAAGGAAAA